ATGTATTGGAATTTTTTCCAGATTTCTGATTCCCGGTGTGATGTATGAAAATCACTGATCACAGTAATTTGAAAAGCACTGTAATACTTCAACAGTTGTTTCTCTAAATTTTATTTAATTATTAAATAACTTAATATAGTAAGCTTATTTTATTTATATATATCGATATCGATATACGTACAGTACATATATACATAAATCGCATTTTACCTGATTGAATCTAAATTACCATAATTTGCGACAAATAGTACCTCTTGTTAAATTACCCGCCCACCTCAATTGTACGTTGTAAGGGTGAATGATGACTATGCTTTCCGGGGTAAACTAACTCTAACTAAACTAAAACTATCTACTCACTAAACTAACTATACACTATTCTAAAACTACGCTAAACAATCCTAATCAACAAGGCACTTCGATAGAGGCGTGGATGAGTTTGGTCCGAGGAATTAGGATTAACTTCAAACTTACTGCGGATGTCATAAGATTCCAACAATGCACTTTAAGTATCTTATACCTTTAATTCTTCACTATTAATATAGTACTCCGATTTCCTATATTATCCTTACTATCCAATACTTATTACTTGTCTTTCTCTTCCAGGTTCAAAATACTGAATTCATGGTATCAAATAGAATTAGGTCACGAGAATCAGGTTTTAATCAGTTTGTGAATTAATATGCAGCGAAACAATATACTCTTAATTAATCACGGAGATAATCAAGGTCTATAAGAGTAATCGAATTAGAGATTTGGGTAACTTTTACTCTTTTTTTCTCTCTTCGACAAGGTTACGATTTTACTTATAAGGAACAAAATTAATGACTTTACACTATTTGTGCAATACGGGATTCAGTAAGTTAAATACAGTACTCTAATTTCTTTAACTTCGAACTTTTGGAACTCTAAGAGCTGTCCTTTTATTTTGATGACAAAAACATCGCTTATATAGCTTTTACACAATTAGTGAATGCATTTGTCGTAATTACATCAATTTCTAAAGGAAAAAGCCATAATGGCATATTTGAAATATTTTGTACATTGGGAACTTCGAGCATATTACGAACATTTCGAACATTTGGAACATTGGGAACATTGGGCTAATCATTTTAACTAAAAAAGGCAAGCACTAAGTGATTGCTCTTATTGTTCTACAAATACGAATATGGAAAGAGATAAACTATACTAAAAAGGAAAAAATAAAAGAGGTAATACTAATAACGATAATAAAATATATATATATATATAGTAGTAAAAGTTCTTAGGTCAGAAAGGCACCTCGAAACCTGTTACAATTCTCCCCTCTTTAAATATGAGTTCTACAAGTTATCAGATTAATAATTGAAGTTCTTCAAGTATTAACTGGCGTACCATGGTGAAAGTAGTGAATGTGGTTCTATACAGTTGCTCCACCCCAAAACATGCAAATAATTGGTAGATTCGAGTGGCCGAAGTGTAATAATAGCAAGAAATTAAGTGTCGATGTGGAGCTAGGTCATCTTTTGGTACTGTTTCTAAAAGTAGGCCCAAATAATAGGCATACACCAAACCTTTAATATGATCACCTACCTAATAGATCAAATTATATGGTTCTTGGCTATTGTAATTCGTGTTGGGATATCTTGATCCATATCATAAGGACAAGGGGTTGGAATTACAAAGGCGGGTACAGTAGCTATTTGGTCAGCTAAAATCTGTACAAAACAAGCAGAGTTGGCCTTTTTTTTTTCTTTTTTTAACTTTGGTTACTTAGAATTGTTTCCATTATGACTTGTTACTTCGATGGTCTGTTACAGGCCTATATATATCTTGTCGTTTCTTGTATGGCTTAAGCAACTTTTTATTTAGGGCAGTTGCTAATACTTCTTCCTTGAGAGTTCTTAGTTTATAAATGCTGTTGCCCAGTATATTGTGAACATAGAAAGGCCCTATCCATTGTGGAATGAACTTATAACTTCATGTTCCTATTCTTTTTGCATCATAAGCCCATACCTTTTCTCCTATAGAAAATTCAGGGATAGCTTTTTTTATCTTTATATTATAAGTATCCTTCTGCTTCTGTTGGCTTCTAAGAATTTGCTACTTGGCGAGGTCACATGCTTTAGGTAAATCATTTTCTAAATTGAAAATTCGTTGGACGAAGGTTTTATTTAATAATTCTTCTAACGCACTAGGATGTATAGAGAGCCTAGCCTCTTGTCTATATACTAGATAGAATGGAGTCATTTGCGTGGAATTATGCTTGGCAGTTCTATATACAAATAGAACAGGTTGAATGAATGAGTCCCATTTCTTCAAATTCTCAACGAGCTTAGTGATCGATATGCAGATCGATTTATTAAATCTCTCTACTAAGTAGGGATTGGGACCGTTTAACCATATAAAAAATTTTTTATAGTTCCGGGCTGAATAATGTTTATCATAGGCCAGGTCAATTTTAATGCAGGCTGAATTAAACAGTTAATATAGTTAAATGATTAAATGGTTAAGAAAATTTTAGACGGTTCCAATCTCTACTACTAAGCCATTTGTTTGCAGGTGGTATGGTGTGGAGTAATGGTGCTTAGTTTGGAATCTGGCTAATAGATTGTCAATTACTATGTTCTTAAGGTGAGTACCTCTGTTCATGAGAATATAGTTTGGGCATCCATGCCGATAGACGATTTCTTCATAAATAAAGCTAGATACTTCCTCGGCTGTGGCCTGTGGAATAGCTCATGTCTCTGGCCATTTAGTTAAATAATCGGTGGCCACTACTATATACCTATTTAATGGGCAAGGGGGCTGACTATATTAAGACCAATTCTATAAAATGAGTATTGAGTGTAAGGGCTCAGTTGGGGTGGGTCTTCCTTGTTGTTGATACTTTTCACATGTTTGTACATATCTACAGATATCTTCGTACATCTGGGCCAATAATAGTAATTACATATTTTATGAAATATAATATCCTTCCCCAAATGTGCACCAGTAGGGTGGTCATGAACAATAGCAAGAATAGGCTCTATTTCATTTTTCTTTAACACTCTTAATCAATTATTTTTGTTATATCAATTTTTTTTATACAGTTCCTACGTATCACTTTAAAAAACTTACTTTTCAATTCTAGACATTTCTGCTGTAGCCTATCAAAGTGAGACAGAAAATTTTGTACTTGTAAATAGTTCCTCAATTCTTTGTATTGTTGGGAATCCATCTTTATTAACTCCTCTTTCTTCTTGAGGATAGAAAGAAAAAAACAGAATGTTCGTCTTTTTCAATTCCAATTCCGTTTTGGAATGCCAGGACACTGACAACCTGGTTTGTATTTAATTTAACATCAGATTTTCTTCTCCCTAATCAGCTCTTTAAATAATTCCTTTTAGCCCCAATTCTGTTTTGATAACAATATTCAATTCTGTTGAATTCGGTTGTTATCTGTCCCAATGTACCCGAGTGTTTGTCATATTTGTAAAGTTTTTCTTTATCTTCCTTTTGTTTTTAATTACCCTTTAAATAAGGCCCCAATACTTGCCTTATTTCATCCTAACCAACCAGCTCTAAATGTTAGATCTATTGGGTCCAATTTCACTTGCTCTCTTTTTTTTTTTTTTTTTTGTATATATATATATATTTATCATGCTTCATTCCTTCATTTAAACCACTACTGGCTCTGATCAATCCAGGATTCTACCATTTTGGCATTAATGCTATTTTGTATGGTTGTTTCTATGTCTATGCGCTTCGATTGCACCATCCAGAACTCAACATTGGAGCATTAGTAATTCGGTGGGGTTATTTGCTACCAAGGGAAAGGCCAGATACTCCATTGTATAAATGGCTTAATGTAAATTTAACCCAGTTGCGGCATAATAAGTTCCTAGGGTTGGGTGTAAGTATAAGAAGAATTCATGACTGTAATTGTCACAAGTCTCAACAAATTTGAGCTTCTGATGTTTTTGCCAACTCATTAATTGGTACATAGTGACAGGGCAATATTTTGTTTCTGGTGTTTGCTTTCCTTCCGTATCTTACATTCTTCTATTTTTGTTATTTAATGCTTCTTCAATATTTAGCCTAGATTTTTGCGAGGTTGTTTTATTATCATTACAATTTCTGTTATTTTTTTCAGGTATATTTATCATGAATAATTCCACCTTTTTCTTTTTATTTCTACTCATTTCATTCAGTCTAATTAGTTCTTGATTAGATTTTTCCACAATCCATTTGCAGGAACTCAGGGTGTTTGCTACATATTTGAGTCTCTTGATGCAGATTAAGTATATAGAATTTTCAGTGTTTAAATCAATAGGGGCATAATAAAACCCATGAATCATATGCCAGTACACACATACTAATCTTCCATGTTTAATGTCCCAACTATCAAATTGCAAGTTGTGGCGGTAAGTTTTTCTAATCTTTATGTAGAATAATTCATCGACTTTATCCTGACTAATGTTTGAACTATCTGTGAAGCTTAAAACTAGTCCATAATGGGTAGTCTCCGGATTCACAATATTAGGTACAGTGTTTAGGAATACCAATGTGCCTTCACTAATAGTAGAAGATAAGTCATCACTATCTGTTAGAGCCTCATTTCTGCTATTATTAGAACTAGCATTCAATATATACACTTCTTTTTCTATTAAATCCAACCTAGGAGTTTTATACTTATTAGGTTCAACTAATCTTGATAAGGCATCCGCATTAGTATGTTTTTTTTCACTTCTATGCTGAATGATGAAGTGGTATGGTTGGAGACGTAATATCCACCTGGCCCGGCGCCCTTTTAATTTTGACATTTGTAACCATTTTAAGGCCGAATGGTCAATAACTATAAAAAAGGGCTTCAACCCTAAGTAGTAATGGAAATGCTCAATGGCCACACAACCACCAAGCATTCCAACTCAGTCATTGCGTAATTTCTTTCTGCCTTTGTCAAGCTTTAATTAGCATAAGCTACTATGTATTCTTTTTTATTTTCATCTACTTGGGCTAGAACCGCACCTAATCCAACCCCAGATATGTCTGTGTATAAATAAAAGGTTCTTTTAAAATTTGGATACCTAAGTATAAGCACAGTGGTGAGCAGTGTATAAAATCTCACCTCGAAAATTGTGCACATTGTACTTTTATTTTATGTGAATAATTTTAAAAATTGGTGCACTATAAATTTTTATAATACTATAAAATACATATGCACAAATTTAAACCATGTGCACTATTAAATCAATTATATTAATTAGTAAAATAAACTGTTTGTAATACTTATTTGTAAATTAATTATCAATAAAAAAACAAATAAATTTGTTTGAAATTACCAATTAAAAGATCTATAGAACGATTATTAGTAAAATAATATAAATCTATCTAAAAAAGTATTTTAAAATTAAAATTTTAATAAACCAAATAATTAAAAATATTAAAATATATAATTTAATATCCAATTTTAAATAAATAAATATTTAAGTAATTAAAAAATATTCTAAATTTTATATTTGTATAGTGCGATTTTATTTGTAAATATATATATATATAAATTTTAGTTAAATAAAAAAATTTAATGAAAACATAATTTATAAAAATAAATATTTTAGTAATTCTACAGTAAGTTTAAATGTTTAAAACTACTCTTTCCTTTGAGACCCAATTTTTATATGCTTGCTCTAAATCAAAATCTTCAATTGAAGGTTCATTAAAAGCGATTAATAGATGATAATTAAGTGTAGGAATTGATATTTTTTTTCTTAATTTAGTTTTAATCATGGTTTGATGAGAAAATACATATTCAACATAACCATTTGATAGTGGAGCTATTAATACAATAATAGCTAAACTAGTTAAATTTGGAAATTGTTTGGAAAAATTTGTTGTTTTAAATATATGTTGCCAAGCTTCAACAAAGCAAAATTGTTTAAAATTTAAAATTAAATGTTTAGCTAAATTCCACTCTTCGAATAATTTAGCTTTATTAAGCTTTGGAGCTAAAATACCATAATCGCTATTAATTTTTTTATCATAATAATTATCTAAAAATTTAAGTTCATCATTTCCAAAATTATATAAAGCTTGCCGTTTAGTTGGAATTTCATATAGATCTACAATTCTTAATGCATGATATAGATCAGAATCTGGAAATCAACTTCACAAACTTGCAATTATATTTGTTGCATATTGTATTACAAATTGTGAAATTTGAGATGCTGATATTCTATTTGTAGTCATATAGTTAAGAAGTTGTGTGCCTAGTTGTGGAAGATTGCCTAGTAAACTGATAAACTCTGTTGTAATACTTTCAATTGCTATAGATAATTGGGCTTTAATTTCACCAAGTAAAACATAATCTGACTGACATATATTAATTACTTTATGCAAGATATAAAACAAGTCAGCTAAAAGATATGTAACAAGAAAAAAATTTTGATCTATTGCATTACAAATATAATGCAGTAGTAGTAGATTCTCGATTAAATGCTTCTTTGATATCATCTAATATTTGGTACAAATTCTTGATAACATTTGCTCATGAAAGCCAGCATGTATTAACAAAATTTAAAACAAATAAAAATTTATAATGAATATTTTTATCTTGAACAACTCTTAAAGAGTTTTTTCGTTTATATAAAGCTGACCAATAAGTATATATTCCCTTAACTACTGCTGTATAATTAGAGAAATATAGTAAATTTTTTATACATCTTCTGCTGCTAAATGAAGACAATGGGCAATACAATGGTTGGCTAAAATAAATGGATTTTTATGTTTTAATCTTGCGTCTAGTCTATTATGTAATCCTAAAAATTTTATTTATATAATATAATATTAATTATTAATATTATTATAGATTAATATAAAAGTATAGTAATAAATAGCTTACTGCTCATATTACTTGCACTATCTAAACAAAAATGAATTAAGCAAGTTAAGTTAAGTCCTTTAGCAATACAAAACAATTCTAAATTTATTAAAATTGCTTCAGCTGTAGTTTCATTTAATGAAATCATTTCAAGGTATCGTATTACTGGAATATTATTAGCAATATGTTTTGAAACAATTGCAAGAGTCTTTTTATTCGTAATAGCATTAGATTTATCAAGAAGAATACTCCAAAATGGTGAGTTGTTAATTTCTGCAATAGTATTTTTCTCAATTATATATGCTAATACTTCTAACATTTCACATTTAGCAACAGGATTTTGATAAGTAGCATAATTTTCTTAATTAGTAAAATCAAAATTGTTATTTTTTTCAAAATAAAGATAAGGTGGATTAAGAGTACAAGGTGGATTTTGATAAGTTATTTCATTATAATTTAAATGTGTAAAATTTACTAAATTGCAAAGATCTGGAAAAATATTAAGAGCTAAGTGGTGTTTTGATAAAAAATAAATATTATGCATACTTGCTAAAGCTTTTGCTTTTGTTTCACCATACTGAATTGTAAAACTGCTAAATAAGGTTTGCTACTCTATACTTTTATCTTTAGCAGCTTTAATATGCTCATGAATTTTAATATGTCATATTAAAGATTCCTCTTTAAGCCATTCATATCCTTCTTGTATGAAAATATTTTTAGCTTTTATATCATGACACCAAGTACAAAACATTCAAATTTTTCCATCTACTTTTTGATCTTTAAGCCATGGATATTGGCTTCGCCATAATGGATTAAAGAGCAATTTTGATTTAGTTAGCTGCTCTAATTTAGGTTTTTTGGCTAAGTTTGGTTGCTTAATAACTGAGAAACTAGTTGATATATCAGATTCTAAAAATTCTTGAAATTCTTGAGATTCTTGAAATTCTTGTGATTTCTGAAATTCTTGAGATTCTAGAAATTCTTAAAATTCTTGAAATTCTTGATATTCTTGAAACTCTTGAGATTTGCAGATTCCTGAATTTTTTGAATTTCTTGAATTTCTTAAAATGCTTGAGATTTTTGAGTTTTTTTTTTTATTAGATTTATCAAAAGTATAATATATTTTTCCATTGCTATAATAGTATTATAAAGTAATTAATAAAATATATAAGGTAAGTTTAAAAATTTAAAGATAAACTTTATAAGATATCTAATAAATTTACTTCGTTAATTATATATATATATATTACTTTTTTTTTTTTTTTAACAATTATTTAAAGGGGTTAGGATCCTATAGCCTAGTAGTCTAGGCGCCTAATCCTCCACAGACAAGGTCAATGGTTCGATTATAGCTAGTAGTAATTAATTTA